AAAAAAAAGAGAGAGAGAAAGAGAGAGAGAGAGAGAAGGGGATGTAGAAGAAGAATCTCGTGCACCTTTCTAATATCGTGAATATCGTGTACGGTTCCGCGTGCACGCAGAAGTGCCGCAACGCCACGTGGCATGGACTCAACTAATGTCGGAAATAGTGCTGGAGGTAATTACCACCATGAATCCTGCAGGTCTGTCCATAAACTCGTAAGAGTACAAGGGAGTGGACATTTCTTCTGAACAGCACGTTGCAAAGTATCGCAGATATGCTCATTAATATCCATGTCTGCGGATTTTGGTGGCCATTGGAAGTGTTTAAATTCAGAAGAGTGTTCCTGGGGACACTCTGTAGCAATTCTGGATATGTGGGCTGGCGCATTGTCCAGCTGGAATTGCCCCATTCCGCCGGGATGCACAATGGTGCAGGTAATCAGACAGGATGCTTACGTACGTGTCATCAATAAGACGTATTAGGAGTCACATATCACTCCAACTGCACATGCCCCATACCATCACAGAGCCTAGGGGGCACGGAGCCTAACATGCAGGGTCCCTGGATTCATGAGGCTGTTGCCATACTCGTACACGTCCATTCGCTGGAAACAATGTGAAACGAAACTCGTCAGACCAGGCAACGTGTTTCCAGTCATCAACAGTGCAATGTCGGTATTGACGGGCCCAGACGAGGTGTAAATATTTGTGTCGTAGGTTCATGAATAGGCCTTTGTCTCCGAAACCCCATGTTGATAATGTCTTGTTGAATGGTTTGCACGCTGACACTTGTTGACGGCCCAACATTGCTATCTGCAGCCATTTGCGGAAGGGTTGCACTTCTGTCACATGCAATGATTCTCCTCAGTCATCGTCGGCCCCGTTCTTGCACGATCTTTGGCAGCCGCAGCGGTGTCGGAGGTTTAATGTTTTACTGGATTCGCGATATACACGTAACACTCGTGAAATGGTCGTACGGGAAAATCCAAATTTCATCGCGACCTCGGAGATGCTATGCTCTATCTCTCTTGCACCAACTATAACACCACGTTCAAACTCACTTAAATCGTGATAACCTGCCATTGTAGCAGCAGTAACCGATCTACTGTGCCAGACTCAGGTTTTCTTACATAGTTATTGCCGACCTGAGCGTCTTATTCTGATTGATTCAGGTTCTTTTTATTTCAATACGCATGGCTTTATCAGTTGTTTGGCTCTTCAGTGTATAATTATTGTTTTAATTCTAAATAAACTTAATAGCCCCATAAATAAACTACTAATTTAATTTGAGAAATAGTGAGAAAAAAGCCAGAATCGTTGCCAGGGATTTTGCACAGAGACCCGGTGTGGATTACAGCGAAACATTTGCACCAGTTGCACGACTCACCTCGACGACCGCGAATTTAAACAGTATTGTCGGAGAAATCTACACGTACATGGAGATGCCCGGTCACGTGCGAGATGTTCTCGAGTTCATCAGCGAAGACAGGGCACAGGAATCTTGTCTGTCGGATGAATAAGGCTCTTTATGGCCTAAACGAAGAATTGATCAAGCTTGATACATCAATGGCGAATCCAGAGTGAAAGACGATTGCAACGATCCCCTATTGATAATTGATTTATGTCGATGGCAGACTAGTCTTGTCGCACCACTCCAGAGAGATAGACTACACCTACAACCAATTATGCTAATATTTCGTGATCAGGGATTTAGGTGACGTCAAGTATTGACTGGGTATGGAGTTCTCTCGAAGCGACCCCAGAATTACCCTCAGTCAAAACGGGTTCGTAATGGAAATTCTGAACCGTTTTCTGATGTTGCAAACCCATGACGACGCAAACCAGTCTTGTAGTCAAACTATATGTCCGAGGGTTATGGTCTGAAACCCCCTACGTATAGACAGCAGGTGAGTGCTCTAATGTACTTGTGAATCGATTGGGCATCTTGCTTGGACGATCGTAGGTCACACATGGGCTTTGATTGGAGGAGCCACATTGTATGGTTTTAGGATGTATTGAGGAACCATTGGGAGACCAGAAAGCAACGGACGGTGGGAGGCCTTATTTTTAAATACATGGCCTTAATCGAAGCAGCTAAGGAGGCAATGCATTTGAGGCGATTGGTTGGAGAGGAAGAGAGAGAGACTGGGGTGGCGGACGTTACCAGTGTTGCATTGTACCGAAATTGTACGAAATATGGGCGATGCACTGAGTCGAACTATACCACAGTTTGCGTACCTCGGCCCCGCCCTGCGGGATCGAGCAATATGCTTTAGCTTTATTTCAGAGAGGCGGGACTATTCATCGCGAATATTACAAAATGGCGGCCATGGCGAGTTATATTACGGTAGATGTTTGAAAATAAATATTAAAGCAACAAGTTTTACATAAATTGTAGTATATACATTTAATTAAAGAAATAAAAGCATGCAATTTCCCAATAAAAATACATTTTAAAACAATAATAATACGTTGTTTTTTTGCAAAAAATAACACTCCACAAGGAGTAATAAGCTACATATTTACATTTCATCTTAGATTATAGTTGCCAGTTGCACGAACACGTATCCGAGATGATAGCTTTCGGTGGTGAAATACTTCTTCATCCGTTTCTCAGATTATTAATTTTTTATTGGCATGTTTTGTACATTGATCAGTTTGACAACTATACATGTTTTTATTATTAAATAAAACTTAACCTAACTTAACACTTCTTCAGAGGTCGAGGAAACCATGATGGTCCTCATAAGATCTATTCTAGATCTGAAAACAATTTACAGAATATGTGGTATGGATATTTATTTTGATGCATGTAGGATGAATACGTTTTTTGCAGAGTTTGAATGTAGATAAAGTTTGGATATAGTGTATATTAAAAAAGAAGTTGTGGTATAGGTAGGTGATGTGGTGAATGATGGAATGGAGGTTGAATTCATTGTGTAGTTGGTGATTAAATATGAACCAGGATGCATTAGTGATGGTGCGAAAGAATTGGTTCTGTACTATTTGAATTTTGTTGATCTTTGTTTTTGCAGCATTAATCCATACTGGGCAGGCGTAGAGAAGAGTTGCTGGGCAGGCGTAGAGAAGAATTGCTGTTTTGTATGGGAAGTAATTATTCCTATTAATTAGAGTTTTAATTGATGCCGTTTGTTTTTTGTTTCTATTATTTTGATGCCTATATGTTGTTTCCAGTTCATCTTAGTGTACATGTGCAGTCCAAAATATTCAATGGGCCCATTTGGATGGTACCATGGAATGGGCTAATTTTTTAATGTTGGTGAAGTATGCGGTATGGCCTTAAAGTGAAATGTTTGCTGCAGTTTTGTTTGGGTTTAATTTTATTTTTAATCTGTTTGACCAACTGTCTATTTAGTTTGGATATAATTGTATGATGTTTTTAATGTTGATGAGAGAGTGGTGGAAGAGAAGGTAAGAAGCCGCCCTCGCTTTCCCAGAAACACACGTGCGAGCCTCGCCACCCTCCGCCTGTTAGCAGTTTGCAACGGACGGAACCCTCAAGACCGTTCTATCGCCAAATTCAAATGGCTAATTGTGATTGACCACTGCCATCCCCTCCCCCTGAGCGCACCAGCGTTAGCTATCTGACGATGCTCCCGTTGTTAAACTACCAATTAAGTTCCGCACAAGCAGCGCGTGAAGCCTCATGTGTGGTCCGTGTTGGCGGGCTCCGTCTGTACGTAAAAGATTTACTGTCCAACCTCGGACCGTTCCCAGTTGATACATGCAACTTCTAGTGTACTGTCTGTGTATTGTAGATTATCTGCATCAGACCACTTGAACATACAGTTTATTGTGCAATCTCGGAGTGTTCCCGGTTAGCACGTGCAAAGTATCATTTAATTTGTGCGAAGTAAGACTCCACCCAATTCGTGCGCTACAACGAATTCTACCTATGCTTTTTAGAAAAATAACCACACAAAACATGACTAACGTCAACGCAGCCCATCGCGCAATCGATCAAGTTCGAGGAAACGGGCATGAAGAATTGACTACGCTAAATTGGGCATCGATGGACTATGTGTGAGGTGCGGAAGAAATAATCACCTCGTAAACGACTGTCGCACTAATAAATCAACTCTCAAATGTTCTGAGTGCAAGAAAAGCGGTCATATTTCTAAGGTATGTACCCGATCCTTATTAGATCGAAAATCAAAACAGACTCATTCTGTACAGGAAGAACCGGCTAATTCACTTCAACTGGATACCATTCTCAAAGAGTATGGATCATTTCAAATTGTCGACCTCTACCAAAATCAACCCCCAAACGATAATCTGAAATGCTATTACGCCCAGGTTCAAGTTGAAGAAAAGGTAATCAAATTCGAAGTTGATTCAGATGCCGCTTACACGATGTTGCCTCGAAACAAGTTCGCCGATTTCAAATTCAATGTCGCACTTGAGCCAACACCTCTGCGATTCCGATCGCACACGCATGATGTCTTCGTTCCAAATGTCCACGTCGAATTCAACGGGAAAACCTTCCAAGATGAATTCTACATTTTTCCGGAAGAATACGACGTTCTTTTAGGCCGAGTGTGGATCAGAAAATTAAACATCAATTTACAAGAACTCGATCTACAAAACCAAGTATCAACCGAAATAAACGCTGTAAGTAATATCGATGAAACCAATGAAATTATGACATGAT